TGAGGCACAGAGCAGGACAGTCACTTGGCCAAGGCCACCGAGTGGAGAAGCCACAGAAGCCGTCCAGCTCAAACACTCTGTCCCTCTCAAGATCAGTGAGCCTAGTGGTACTGAGCCCTGTGGTCTGCAGAAGGAAGCCACGCGCTCTCTGAGGGCACATATGCCTCTGGTCTGCTTCTTCTTTCTCTGTTCTCCTTTCAGCTGTCCTTGGTCCCTCAGGGTCACATGGAGAGAAGCGGCTGCTTTCAGAGGCAGGCCCCTGAAGTGCTCTGCGCTGGTGGGGCCGTCCACGAGCCATAGAGGTTTAGAGAAGTTCAGTTTCTCTGATAGGGGAAGATGAACGGCCCAGACAGCCTTTACCGGGAAATCAGGCTAGTTAGAATGAGCGGCACTCAGTGGGCAAGGCTCCCCCATGCAGCCCAACACAGAGCAGGGAGTGTTTTCCAGATCAGGAACCTGAAGCCAGGAGAGAAGTGATATGACCAGGATCCCACAGCAAATTGTGGCAGAACCCGGCTCAGCGCTGGGCTTCTCACTGTCTTCACCCTGGTCAGTATGTGCCACGCAGCTGCAGATGGCTGGAGATGGCACTCATAGGTGGATGTTGGCATCTCAGTGTCATTCTCATTTATTAGGAGGCTTGGAGCCACATTCTTCTTGGGAGTTGATTATATGTTTACAAAACCGAATTAACTCTTTGATCCTTGTTTGAGGTCCTGGGATCTTGAATTGTAATATGTGTTTCATGCCTCATCCCAACTCCACTGCAGATTTTGCATGATGAACAGATGGGAGCAGTTAATCTGAAATTCCTCGGGGCAAGATTTACTAACTGTATCTGTGTGGCCTGCAGGAGCTAAGAAAACTTTCTGAAGTGCCATACTCATGGAGTGCCATGTCCTGGGGAGAATCTAGCTTGGGCTGCAAGGTGAGCAAGCTAGTACTTTCTTCAGAGCACCAAGCAAAGTACTGCAGGGTGGAGCTGTCTTGGTCGCTGTGGTTCTTCCTCCTCTGGCCTGTCCCATCTATCTGGCACGCTTTGCCCAGCAGTGTCTCCGAGATGCTATGGGACAAGAACACAGTGAGCCCAGCTGAGAAAGATGCCCAGTTTGATAGTTGTCCCCGGCCACTTGCTGAGTCCCCTCAGTCTCTCAGATTCCTGGCCTCAAGCCCAGCTGTGCAGCTCTCAGCCCCTCAGCTCAGCTCCTTGGAGGCTTCCAACCTCAGTCATGACAGCGCCCTCAACCCTGTCTCTTGAATCTTGAACTGAACCTGCATCCAACTCATGCCTGTCCCCATCCAACTCCTGAGAAGCCCCTGGTTTCTTACCCCAAATCCCTGCACTTTGCCAAACCTCCGTGTTCCCTCCGGACCATCCTCCATCAAGTGGGGTCAGGGAAAGCCCTGCTACGACCTGTCAACTTGATACTTTGGCAGGTGGGTGTGGGATGAGGCCAGGGTTGGGTCAGGTAGGAGACAAAATAGCCAGAGGATGGAGAGGGCAGCTGGACATGGGGCTACTCAGGAGTCAGGCCAAGGAAGTTCAACTCTGATGTGAGTCCACAGAGCGAGTGTAGACTGGACACAGGTGACACAGCTGAGAAGTCCAAAGCCTGAGAAAGGTGGCTTGGAGGGAAGTGGCAAGTGAAAAGCAGAGACTGGAGACCAGCTGCAGCAACTGAGGGTCTCTGGCTCTGGTGCATCTCAGCTGGGAACGTGTGGGAGGTGCAGCCTTCAGTCTACGGCCCTGACTTGATTCTGTCCCTTAGGCTGTGACACACAGCACCCTCCCAGCCTTTACTGTCACCTCTATGCTGACTTCGGCTGTTCCTCTCCTTCCACCCCTTAGGTCTACCTCCTGAACCTCTCTGCTCACTTGCACACTCCTTGCTATTTCCCCACAAGCCCAGCTTTGGCTCCCGGCCCACCTGCTGGACCTCTGACCCCAGGCTGGTGTAGGAGGTGCCCTGCTAAGACCAAGAGCAGTGCCTGAAGCCTTCAGGAGAGGCCCTGGTGTGACCTGTGACTTTCTTCAGATACTCTTGGTGCTCAGCCAACCTTGGCTGCTCACTGAACATGACCAGGATACACACACACACACACACACACACACACACACACACACACACACACACACACACACACACACACACACACACACACCCCTGTTTGCTTTTGACTGAGGTGCTGGCTGCTTCTACCCTGTGTCTGGCCCTGTCCTGTCCTGAGTTCTCTCTCCCTTCACTCAGGGATAGAGTTCTGGGGTTCCACCTGGGCTGCGTTGGGTGCCTAATCTGTCCAGTCCTGTTCTTGCTTCATGATCTCTCAGAGCTAATGTTGCAGGGCTGAGGCTGTGGAAATCGTGTGGGCAGGAGCCTCATCCATCTTGTTAGCCTGTGACTCCTCAGTGCCAACACATAGTAGGTGCCCAATAAATATTTGTACAGGGGCCTGAGTTCCAAATAGGGAGGTGGGTGGTCTCAGGGTCAGGGCCCTGATGTCCCTCACCCTCTGCTGCTAAGATGCACATCTGTGTGTGGTGCATGTTAAACACTAGATGCGCCTGGGGCACCTGTGTCTTAGAACCCTTATCCTTCTCCATCTGACTCTGTAGTTGACTTGAGTGCCCTGCTTGTTCACGCCCTCATGAACATATGCCAGTGGGGACAAGAACTCTCCTGGGAAGACCTTGTTCTGTTGAAATACAAGTGCTTTGGGGAAACAGGTGCTGTGCCAATATGAGCCTTGTGCAGGTGCTTGGTCAGGGGAGAGGTCACTCATTTTTGCCTTGCTCACTGGGGTGGCCATTCTGGGCACGTGCTTTCAATTAAAATTCACCAGGAGGATTTGCTGGGCTACCTGACAAGGTGGTGAGTTGTTGCCTGGTGTCTCCTGGGTGAGAGATCTAGAAAGCAGACCTTTCCCACCATTTGGGGAGCTGAGCTCAGTCAGTAGTGTCCGGAGGATGGGGGTTGCTCCCATGTTCTGAATCTACAGAGACACTGGGTCGAAGGAAGAACGTAGATGCTGGCCTGAGCTGGAGAGCAGAGCGAGGTCTATGGGGCCTAGAGAGGAAGCTCAGACTATTTGCAATGCACACACCCTCCCCCCAGTACCCCCCGTTGCAGCCTGGCTCTTCTCAAAGTCAAGGTGAACTTTCTGAGGAAATGGAACCACGGAAGAACCTAGAGGAGAGGACAGCCTACTTCTCATGCTCGCCTGAAAATCTACCTGCTGGCAGTTTCTGTGGATGCCCGTGAAAGTGTGTGTGATTTAAAGGAACATGCAGGACACTGTCCCATCAAGTGATGAGTTCCTTTGTCATCAAATTCAAGAACTATATATTTGGTCTTTGTCCCTGGTTCCAGGCACAGAGCTTCTAAAACCCTTGTAGCTTCCTGAGTGATAGGGGTGAGAGGAACATTTTTGGTTATTCATATAAGCCTCTGCAACCAAACCTGAGTTTATGCTAATGAGATGACTCTTGGAGGGTGGGCCCTGGTTGCCAGAGGAACCAACCATGGGATTAGAGGATTGGAACTTTTATTTTTTTGATTATTTTTTTGAAGATTGGAACTTTTAGACCCACCCCTCCCTACAACCTCTGGGGAGGAAAGAGGGTTTGGGCATTGAGTTAACCACCAATGACCAGTGATTTAATCAGTCATGCCTGTGTAAGGAGCCTCCATAAAAACCCTAAATGAAAGGATTCAAAGAGCTTCCAGGTTGGTGAACACATTGAGGAGCTGGGAGGGTGAGGTACCCAGAGAGGGCATGGAAACTCCATGCACCTTCCACATACTTTGTTTTTTTGGATCTCTTCTATTTGGCTGTTCCTGAGTTGTAGCCTTTATAATAAACCAGTAGTAGTAAGTGTAGTGTTTCCCTGAGTTCATGAGCCATGTAGCAAATTATGGAACCTGAAGAGGGGATCATGGGAATCCCTAATTTGTAACCAAATCAGAAGTGTGGGTAACCTGGGGACCCACTACTTGTGACTGGTGTCTGAAGGGGGGCAATCCTGTGGGACTGAGCCCTTTACCTTTGGGATCTGTACTAATTCCAAGTAGTTAGTGTCAGAATTGCTTGATGTGAGGGTAAACCCCACACATTTGGTGTCAGAAGTATTGTGAGTAGAGGACACAGTTTTTCCTTTGGTCATGTAGGAAATAACCCCAACACGTGTCCATTTCGTGGTTGGCTTTTTGAATCAAGCTTTCCTTTAGTGAGGCTAATGCTATCAAGGAAAATCCACAAGAGGTGAGGGAGGATCATAGCTGTTGGCAGGACTGACCACAAGGTGGAAAATTACATCCTCAGCCTAGTTCATACTTTGGTTTACACAAATGTATGGGAACCATAGCCACTGCAGGCCCTTTTGGTGCTTGAATGCAATAGAAATTAACTCCTTCATGTAGCGTTGAGTGTTTGGCCCTCAAAAAGTCAAGGCCTGCTGACATGAAAAATTGCTGGCCTGGCTTCTAGAAGGGAGAGAGCTAAGAATTTGGCTTAACAAAGTCATCAGCCTCTGGGTGCCTCAGCCAGAACGACAATCTGTCCAGCAGACCATAGAGATTTCAATCAGGTCAGTGTGGTAAAGATTAGAATCTGGGTTCAGCCAATTGCTGGAGGAGCACTTTGCACATAGCATTGGCTTCCTGGCTCCAGAATTATTTCACAGCTCATTGTAGGTTGTGTAATAACCATTTTGTTTGACAGCCCTGACCTGAAGGTAAGCCCCAGTGTTTCAGTTTTGTCAGACGCCAGGCGTGGCTCAGCATCTCACCTCTGCCTTATCCAGCTCTGCAGCAGTGTTAGGAGTATTCCCCGAGTGAGTTGCTACACATCCCACAAACAAGGCAGGAATGACAGCAGTCCACATGCTCTGCTTGGTTGGGTGGACTCCTCCAGGATCCTCATGTGATCACCACTGGTCCCAGTGACAGACCAGCCCTTCTGCCGCTCCGCTCCATCACTGTCATCTTCCTCTTCCTCAACAGGAGAGGCTGGACACAGAAGGCACTGCCCTGCCTTTGAGAAACCTGGAACAACTGGGGGAGACACAGCTGTGTAGGTAAAGAATACCTGGATGGCAGAGGAGACATGATTCTGTAGATAAACCCCACACTCACATCTGCACCCAACCAGGAGAGCAGAGGTGTGACTGGTCTCCACCACGGGGCCAAAGGCTGCCACCTTCCCTCCTCCTCCTTCTTTTGAACAGCTTTATTGAAGTATAATTGATGTACAAGAAGCTGCACATGTTTAAAGTATACAGTTTGATGAGTTTGACATATGTCTACGCCTGTGAAGCCATCACCACAGTCAAGACAATGAACATATTCATCACTCATTTCCTTGTGCCCCTTTGAAACCCCTCCTTCCTGCCCTTCCTGCCCTGCTTAGCCAACCACTGATCTGCTCAGTCACTATTAGATCAGTTTACTTTTTCTAGAATTGGATATATGTGGAATCATACCGTGTGTTCACTTTTTTGTCTACCTTCTTTTACTCAACATTATTATTTTAGGGTTTATCTATGTTGCTGCATATATGAATAGTTTGTCCCTTTTTGTTGCTGAGTAGCACTCCATCATATGAATATGCCACAGTTTGTTTATCCATTAATCTGTTGATGGACGTTTGAGTTGTTTCTAGCTTGGGGCTACTAGAAATATAGCTTCTATGAATGTTCACATACAAGTATTTGTGTAAACATATGCTTTTATGATTCTTGGGCATGGAATGGCTGGCTCATATGTTTAACTTAAAAAAAAACCTGCCAAACTTTTTTTCAGAATGGTTAAATCATTCCCATCAGCAGTTTATGGGAGTTATAGTTTCTCCATATCCTTATCAACACTTAGTATGGTCGTCCTTTTAAGTTTTAGCCATTCAAGTGGATGTGTCATGGTACCTTACTGTGGTCTTAATTTGATTTCCCTAATAACTAATGATGTTGACCGTGTTTTCATGTGTTTACTTGCCATCCATATATTTTCTTTGGTGAAGTGTCTCTTCAAATTCTTTGTCCATTTTAAAAGCTGGGTTGTTTATAGTAATACAATGTATAAAATAATTATACTATAGTATAACTTACATGTTATATATTATACATTAAAATAATATATAATATTTATTATAAAATATTTTAGATTATATATTATATATAAATATTTACAAACTATATATCCACCAAAAGGTTTATATTTCAAATATATATTCAAATATATTATATTCCTCCTGGGAATTTATGGACATTTTCTGTGGTAAAATGGAACCAAGTAACAACTATGTTGAAACATCAAGAAGGAGACTAAAGTTTATACTTGCTTATTTAAAAAAATTATATATATATATATATATCTCCACCAAAAAATATGCCTTTTGGTGGATATATCGTTTGCAAATACTTTCTCGTAGTCTGCGGCTTATCTTTTCATGTTTGTAGCAGTGTATTTTGAAGCACAAAAGTTTTAAATCTTGATGAAGATTTTTAGATCAATATATTGATTTTTATCTTTTAGAGCTTGCGCTTTTTGTGTACTATTTAGGAAATCTTTGCCAAATCCAAGTCCACAAATGATTTCTCCTGTATTTTTTTCTAGTCATTTTATAGTGTTAGTTCTTACATTTAAGTCAATGATCCATTTAAATTTTTGTATATGGTGTGAGGTAAGGGTCTAGGTTCAGCCATTTTCTTCCTAGATTCCTGGTGCCCTGGGTTAGTATTCTGTCCTCTCTCCACCACACCTCCATTTCCACCTCTTCATGAAGCTACCATCCTGTCTCTGATGTTTCCTAAGCTATTCAGCCTCTGATCTCCTGCTCACATTCAAGCACTTGGTGGGGACAGAGACACCATCCCCCTTCCCCCTGCTCTGGATGCCCTGGAGCACCCCCATCTGGCAGTGATCATGGAGGTGAAGACCAGAACAGCATCCCTTTGAAGCCATTCCACTCTTGATGGACAGTAAACGCTTGTGACAATTTGCCTTCCCAGATATTTATCTCTTATAGTGACAGCCAGAGGGTCTGGAACTCCCCACTGGGAGAGATAACTGGACTCTTAGAGTTCTAAAAATCAACTGGAATCTCATCTGACCCAACATCCTTGTTGGCACTTGCAGAAATCCATGTGCTTGGAAGGTAGGCAGCCTTCCTGAGTGGGAGCAGGTATTGTTATCTTTGTATCAGAAGTGAGCAAACTGAAGTTTCATAAGATTCAGTGACCTGACCAAGGTTACCCAACTGGCTCATCACAATGTGCCTTAACTCCTGGGCCCAGAAAAAAAACCACACTCAGACTTCCTACTCCCAGGCCAGCAGTTCCCACCCTGTAAATGCTGCAAGTTGCACGTGGAATTTTCCTGCCAACAAGACAAACTGCGGCCACACATTCTTTTATGGTTTCAAAGAAAAGCAACTGCAATGAGTGAAGGGTTTAAAAGGGTGTATTTAAGGTCTTGGGTGTAAATCAAAGAAAGGTTTGGGAGAGGCTGGTTCACCCTTTTCCAAGTGGATCTAAGCTTTATTTTTTTCTTCTACTTTTTTTGGGTCTGGAAAGGGAGCTCTCCTGCAGGGTTCAGGGGTCAGCTCACAGCACTGAGTCTGTGGGAGGAAGAAGGTGAGGGCTGGCTGGTGTACCTCTTCAGTGCCGCGCACATCAGGCCCTCCACGATGCCTCACAGTCCCCATCAAGACCCAAGTTTCTCAGCCTGGCCCATTTCCAACCTCAGCCTCTTTTCCCCAACCTTTTCATCAGCCCTTTGTCCACCTAGCTAGGCTGGTCACCTCAGGGACACCCACACCCTTTACCTGGTCTACACCCTTCTTCCTGTCCCTCAGCTTTGCATGCAGGAGTACCTCTGCACTCGGTCCCCTGAGAATCAGCTTGGGTCCCAGATTCTCTCAGCTGGATGGGCCTGTTGCTGCCCTGGCACCCTCAGGCCTGGCTACCCTCACATGTGCTATGCCTGTCTCTGAGGCTCAGTCTTGTAGGACCTCTTCCCCTATGGCCTGAAACTGGTAATTAGGCCTCATCTCATTTTCCTCTGCTTAGCTTTCCCATGTGTCTTACCTCCCTACATAAATTGTAAGCTTCTCCTGGGCATGGATAGGTCTGATCCTTCCTCATTCCATTGTCCTCATTCCATTGTATCTCCTCATCACCTGGCCTCATCCATGTAGCCTCAAATTGGTGTGGATTGCTTTGATTTGATTTGCCTGGGTCTGAGTCTTAGAAGGAAGGTGGGAGGTTTGCCAGCTGTAGTTTATAGTTTTCCTATGAACTCTGGAAACAGGCTATGGTGACACAGAGATGCAGACTGCTCTCAGGGCTGGAGGCTTGGAGTTAATAAGAGCTGGAGTTCATCTATGAAGAAGAGAGAAATGAGGGGCCATGGAAGAGAGGTCCTGAGCTCAGAACCAGCCCTTACACCACCAGAAGTATCCCTGCCAACAGAAACGTCTCCATTGTTTTTACACACAGGGAGGGCAGGAATGCTCTGCGTGCCAAGCTCCAGGAGAACTCAAGCTCTGCTGCTTGGGAATGATTTTGCTCGTGTGCAGCTTCTACCCGTCTGCTTGAACTGGTTATAAAGAATTCAGAAAACATGCACACCAGGCACTGCAGAGGGTACTTTGGGGACTAAAGGACGAACAAAAGACATGGTCCTGGCTCTTAGTAAACTTGCTGCCCAGCAGTACTAAGTTTACACACTTGAGTATGATGCAAGTCCCTGACAGTCACCAAAGGCAGGAGCTGTTTGCTGGAGAGGAGACATTTAGGATGAGAATTCCAGAAGATTAGGACTTGGAGAAGGAAATTGCAGGAGGAGGGATCTGCGTGAGTGAAGGCAAGGAGTTAGGATCATGCAGGGCATGCACAGAGGATAGGACTGAGTTGCCTGAATGTAGGCTGAGACAGGAGCTTAGGACCAGTTGGTACATATCCTTGAAAGCCAAGAGACAGAAGATAGAATGGTGGTTGCCAGGGACTTGGGGGGAGGGGAAAGGGGAGCTGTTGTTTAACAGTACAGAGTTTCAGCTTTGTAAGATGAAGTGTTTTAGAGATGGATGGCGGTGATGGTTGCATAACAATGCGACTGTACTTAATACCACAGTATTGAATACATAAAAATGGTCAGATACGTTTCTCCAAAGAAGATATACAGGTTGCCAACAAACACGGTGAAAGGATGCTCAACATCACTAATCATTAGAGAAATGCAAATCAAAACCACAATGAGGTGTCACCTCACACCGGTCAGAATGGCCATCATCAAAAAATCTACAAACAGGGCTTCCCTGGTGGCACAGTGGTTGAGAGTCCGCCTGCCGATGCAGGGGACATGGGTTCGTGCCCTGGTCCGGGTAGATCCCACATGCCGCGGAGTGGCTGGGCCTGTGAGCCATGGCCGCTGAGCCTGCGCGTCCGGAGCCTGTGCTCGGCAACGGGAGAGGCCACAACAGTGAGAGGCCCACGTACCGCAAAGAAGAGAAAAAAAAAAAAATCTACAAACAATAAATGCTGGAGAGGGTGTGGAGAAAAGGGAACCCTCTTGCTCTGTTGGTGGGAATGTAAATTGATACAGCCATGGAGAACAGTATGGAAGTTCCTTAAAAAACTAAAAATAGAACTACCATATGACCCAGCAATCCCACTACTGGGCATATACCCTGAAAAAAACATAATTCAAGAAGAGACATGTACCCCAATGTTCATTGCAGCACTATTTACAATAGCCAGGACATGGAAGCAACCTAAGCGTCCATCGACAGATGAATGGCTAAAGAAGATGTGGCACATATATACAATGGAATATTACTCAGCCATAAAAAGAAATGAAATTGAGTTATTTGTAGTGAGGTGGATGGACCTAGAGTCTGTCCTACAGAGTGAAGTAAGTCAGAAAGAGAAAAACAAATACTGTATGCTAACACATACATATGGAATCTAAAAAAAACAAAAATCGTTCTGATGAACCTAGGGGCAGGACAGGAATAAAGGTGCAGATGTAGAGAATGGACTTGAGGACGCTGTGAGGGGGAAAGGTAAGCTGGGATGAAGTGAGAGAGTAGCGTTGACATATATACACTATCGAATGTAAAATAGATAGCTAGTGGGAAGCAGCTGCATAGCACAGGGAGATCAGCTTGGTGTTTTGTGACCACCTAGAGGGTTGGGATAGGGAAGGTGGGAAGGAGATGCAAGAGGGAGGGGATATGGGGATATATGTGTACATATTGCTGA